AACTCTGACATTCAAAAATTTGAACTTAACAATGTCATCATTTTTCGTTGTGAAGCAAGTTTATTGTGTACCCTGTTGAAAAAATCCAAGCAGATGTGATGAGTGGTGCGAATCCTTACATGTAATGAACGTACTACCTACGTATATATGGTAGGGTGTTGCTTCGTCAACTGGACATTTGAGTTATGTCAGCCTAAGATGAGCCATGACAAAATCTGCCAATATAGAGTCTAATGAACTTTAATTTGACATTCCGTTAACTTATCGTTATAACATATTGTCAAACTGGAAATGGACATCTTTTGCATATAATAGACAAAGCTTTTCGAATTCAACTGTTGTTAGAAGGAAGAGATCCACGTGCTGGCAAGTAATATTTACAGTTTGATGAGGAGACACCTATGTGAATAAAGAAGTAATATCACTAGACATCGTTATTATTATTCGTCCCTTGGTTTCCTGGTGGAACATAGGGCTTCAGTAGCACATCTCGATTTCACTCTGCCCTCTGCAGCCTTTTCAACCTGGCTCCACGACTGCCCAGAGGCTTTCATTTCTTTCTCTCACGATCTCCTCCATGTCATCCTTGGATGCCCAACTCGTCATTTCCCATTTGAGTTCCACTCGACTAACTAATATATCCTGGAACGACAAACAATCCCCAATTACCACGTATTTACGGTTTGCCCAAATTACACAAACCCAACAACCCCTTACGTCCCATGATGTCAATCTGTAGGTCGCCAACACATAAGCTTGCCCAGTGGCTAGTGGAATTACTGGATCCCATTAAGAAGCAATTCTGTAAGTATTCCTTAAAAGATACATTTGAAGTAATCAAATGCCTTGAGGATGTCAACATAAAGAGTAAATTTATGTGTTCATTTGACGTTAACTCATTATTTACCAATGTCCCATTGGTCAAGACAATCGACATTTTATGTTGTTATATTTCTGTGCATAAGTTTCCGACACCCATTTCTTTGGATCATCTAAAAGAGCTGTTACTTTTATGTACAAGCAATATTAAATTCACCTTTGAGAGCGAACATTTCCGCCTGGTTGATGGTGTTGCTATGGGAAGTCCTTTAGGTCCCCTCCTAGCCGACATATTTATGTCACACGTGGAGAACTTAGCCGAGAACTTAATAGACCAAGCCTATCTGCATCGAAGATATGTTGATGATATCCTGATCATTTGTGAAAACTCAAGTCAGTCTACTTTAATTCTAAACCGACTGAACGAAGTACAGAACAGCATATCCTTGACATGTGTAAGAGAGGAAGATGACTGCTTGCCGTTCCTGGATATATTAGTTAGTCAAATGCAGGATGGATCCATAAAAAGATCTATCTACAGAAAACCTACATGGACAGGGCAATATCTGAATTACCATAGTTTTTGCCCAGTTCAGTACAAGCGAACGTTAGTAAGGTGATTATTCAGCAGAATTCAACGAATATACACAGAAGATACTTTAGAAGGCGAAAGAGGAACACTGACATATTCTGTTGGAAAATAACTATCCATCAACATTTATCAGGCAGAACAAAATTATCAGAGCGCCAAAACTAGACCTTCAGTCTATCCCAAAGAAGGATGTCTTCATCAGCCTTCCGTACAAAGGTGACTCTCACACTGCAATCCTTAAACAGAGACTTACCGCTGCTGTTAGAAGGACTTACTATGCAGCCAGGGTTCGAGTAATCAAAACCACGAAGCCCGTATATTCCCCAAACCCCTACAGCATGTGAACGACAATGTTACATCCCAGTGTATCTACCAATTCAAATGTACGTGTGGTAACACATAAATAGGGAGGACTAATAGATCCATGCAAGTAAGGGCCTCGGAACATATTCCAAAGTGGTTTCAGAAGCAAATTAAATCACCTGAACCTATAAATGTTGGTAGCAGACGTCCAAGTTCTTCGATCACCAAACATATCGTTGAGACAGGTCACAAGATTGATGTGGCTACTTCCTTTACATCTATTTACAAAACATGTTGGGGAGGGGTCCTTAAATTTGTTGAAGCCTTAGCTATTAGAAAGTTGAAACCACCTTTATGTGTTCATGAACAATTTGTTGTCACATTAAATCTTCCTTGGTAAATTCAACTATTGAAAACCAGGTTCGATTTACTATTATTTTTTGCTCTATTGATTTTCATTGTTATTCGTCCTTTAATTCAGCCTTCCTACCTGACCTCTTTTTATTTTCTCACCCTTTATCTTCATGAGTTTTCATATAAATACCTATGACATGTACGTATGTGATCAGATAGTTCGAAATGTGTTGCGCAAATACATGACACGGTTCAGACAATTTACGTCTTCTTTTTTTTGGTGTAAGTTTATAAAGGGAACTAATTGTTTGAATTTTTTAAAAGTGAACAATTAGGCTTTAAAGAATGAAATTATTACGCTTCACCTTTGGTTGAGCGATAATTAGTGAAAATCAATTATATTTGGGAATAATAAATTGATAAAATTCTTATTGACGATACATACTCAAGAGGTATGCCAAATGTAGTAGCTGAAGTGCCATTGGAAAGATAATGCGTAAACCAGGAAATGAATTTTGCGCATCACTTACATACTTATTTTGTCTGTTCGTATTCATTAGATTACCCGCTCCGGTGAAGAATACTGAATCAAGTGTATTACCTGTCAGTTAGACAGATATATCTTGAAGTACCAACTAAAGCAACTTGTACAGAGCATTTAGAATCAATGCAAACCCTAATTTGTAGATTTCACCAACAGTCATTTCATAATAGACAAGACAAATAAATTCAAGATAATCTGTTAGTGTCATTGGCACAAATCTGAAGGCGTGGAATTTCGAGCGAAAGATACTAAACTTTGTATTTCGAAAAGATTGTAGGATTCTATCCATGTGTCTTTTGAATCTTCAAATCTGTTGCATTCCATTCTCTTTTGCTATGTTAGTTATACATTTATTTTTGTAAACTAACAATTCATTCCTATGATTATTCAATGTTAGACAATTTTCCTGTTTGAAATTTCTGATCTACTCTGACATGTATTCCAAGATAATTGAATATTTTGTGTCCTTCTTATGAAACGTACAAAGTGAACACTGCTGTGGAGTCTCAATCTGGCTTGAAATAGTTTTCTAGCGGAATAGCTTTTTGAGATAGTATCATTCAGTTTTGAAAAACAAACCGGTGGAAAATCTTATTCGGTATTCATAGAATCATATTCGATTATGAAGCAACTCTTAAATAACAGGTTTTCTAAAAAAAGTATATTGTTCAAAGAGAAAATTTTTCAAACGGCTTTGAGACTAACAAGTAAGATAAGTAAGATAAGTAAGTAAGTAAGTAAGTAAGATAAGTAAGTAAGATAAAAAAGTGAACTTATTGCATTTCGTTATGTCCTTTAGCTGTCTAATCGCTCGCTTACATCATGAAGTATTTAAGTATAGAAATACATCGGTTACTTAGGATTATTCAAGAAAATGTCGTTGGTAAGAGTCTACTGGCTGATATTACAAAGCAGATCTGAGTTTAAGGAACTGGTAACTGATCATGAATGAAAATTGACTGATTAGTATGTCTGAATGTAAACTAGTTACTGAGAAGAACAAGAAACCGAAGTTCTACTTGTTAATCACATTGAAGCGTAGTACGGCATCTATTTTCTTATCTTAGGTTAAAAGGTATTACTAAAAGTACTTGTTCACTATAATGATAATATGTTACCTAGATCCTGATTTTGGTATTCCTGATATAAGCGCTGTAGCGTACAGAGTACTGAATACAACACTCATGACTAGCTGTCACTGCCAATACTACTTGTGAACAAACTTATGAAAGCTAGAAAGCATATTGTTATAGCGCGGAATAAGTTTGTTATAATCTTCACAGAGAGTCCTCATATCTCTGAGGCTTTTTACGACCACTCATATTGCGCTGAAGTTTCGAGAGAAAGCACTTTAACCAACATGTAAATATCAGATTAGTTGAAGGGATTAAAATCAATAAGATATTCAAATCTAGAAAGGCTTGTAAATAGCCAAGACCATTACATTTTGCATATATTCTTTACGCTACAACATACGTTCTGCCATCTTATCGCCTTTTCCATTTATCGAGGAACTGAGTAGCCTGCAAGGGGTGGAATCTGAAGGTTATTGTTCAGGCGTTCATGTATATATATAGCTCACGTTATATCAAGTCACTGCAAAGATATAAAAAGTGATGAGGGTGTTATAATACACACTTTATTAACGAAGCATTTGCTCGCCATTAAAATGTCCAACTTTATTTAAATTTTAAGTTTACCATTTTGATACCCTTAAACATCATTATTTCAATTCTCATTGCTTTCTTTCTTTCATTGTACCTACTTTTCTACTTATTCAACAGTATCCTTTAGTTGTGTGAGAAGAAATACGATTCTCAGTACGATTTCATTCAGATAGTCTGAACAGTTAACTGTTCAGGGTGAAGTTTCATAATAGTCCATCGTTAATGAAAACCATCAAAATGAACGAAACAGTTTCCCGGTGTGAGAACAATTCTAGTCTTAATACTTGGTTTGGGTAATGCTAAAATACCAAAGTCAATCAGGTATATGCATCCTGTTAGTTCATATTTCTTTTAGATCAGAGATAAAACCAGTTATTTCTACTGAATAACTTCAGGAATAATTCTTGTTGTTATTACAGTTTGGTGATAGATAAACCACTTGGGTGTGTAAAGTTTCGCTAACAATTGCTCAGTTTACAACTGATTTGCAAATCTTTTTGTCAAATTTAAATATCCGAATATTTCTAATTATTAGTCAAGGTCCGAGGGAAGCATACAAAAACTGAGTGCATTCAAAGTACATGTAAAAGATTATTGTCATCTACATTTTCAGGTTAAACGTGGGGAATTCTGTGCGTGAGGCATCAATAGTTAGTTAAAACCTTTATGATTAGTTTGTTACGAAATAAATTGTAAAGTAAACAGCAAAGATTTAGCTTACAGGTCGACGAAAAGAATGTGCTGTTGACGGTGTACCACGAAGATTAGTTTGTTTGTTTGCTGGACGAGTGTCTTCTGCATTATTAACAGGATTCTGATTGTTTGATTCATTTACATTGTGATTAGACATCATATAAGGATCAATTGCCGATAGGCAACGAGAATGATTCCTGCGATTATGATAGTGATGATGATGATGCCTGTGACCATGACGACAAACACTTGACACAGAACGTGCAGTACTACTACGTTGACTACATACGGAGTGATGATCGTCATCTGTTATATCTACATCGGATGTACGAGCACTCACTGATGCTAGAATATGAGATCGATGTAGGGAATTCAGGCAAGGATATTGATGAACTGGATGTAGTTCAGTTTGTTCATTATCGCTTGTTTTGTCGAAATCAGAACCGTCTCGATCATCAATGCATAAATTTGCTAAGCTCAGTGCACTTCTGCCACGGGCCGCTAAGCTTAGACAGGAAGCTGAGTGCAGATTATTAGGTCCGGTAATCATTCCCATAGCAAGAGGATGTGACTGTTCTCTGAGATTTTGAGAATGATGTGGAGAATCTGAAGTTTCCTCTTCACCTTGTGAGTCAGACTGATCTTTTACCACAGATTTCAATGAGTTTTCAGACTGAAGTTGTGCTGATGAAGATAAGGAATCAGTTACACAATTCTGAGTTCTAGTTTCCACAGCCTTTTGCAGAACACTGTCCCTACGCTGAAGTAAAAACATGGAAAAGATGATCGGTGAGTGCAAAAACTGGTGTAAAACTAATACTTGAACAGTTACAATCAGTATAATTCTTTTTAGATTCACCAAACTATTCTAACAAAGATGTAGGTTTTACTAGCTTGTCCTAATATATACACTAAAGTTTTTAAAAAGGAGATATTTTTTGGTACAAACTCGTGCTGAAGAAACGGTTATGCTTGGTTTAATTCTCTCATATGTCATCAGGATTTTAAGGATTCCTTAGACAGAAGGTATGTTGGGATTTAACAAAAACCTGTTAGTTGAACACAAAAGTGGTATTCAAGTTGTTTCATATCACTAAGTAAATAGGGCTAGAAATTTTTTATCGAATGGAAGTATTCCTTTCAATTTCTTGTGTTACCTTTTGTTGAGGAGTTTCTCTCTTCTTCTACCATTACTTTTTCAAGAATCAAGATAAACTGTTAAATAGTATGAAGTGGCTTTAAAGGCCACCCTAGCAACTGCTGAAATAACCAATCAGACTTCTGTATTTTACGAAAATCTACCCTTCCAGACGAAATGGAGAAATTTAGATGATCATTTCGATTGTTACTAGGGTGGCCTTTAAAGATGTCCTACAATCCGATTCTAAGGCCTTGTCACTTAAAGAAAGCTCCTATCTATTTGATATCTTCAAGGTGGATTAAAGATACATATATTGTTGAGTGACTTTAAAGACCACTCTAGGAACTGCTGAAATAACCAATCAGACTTCTGTATTTTACGAAAATCTACCCTTCCAGACGAAATGGAGAAACCCAATTGGTTATTTTGATCGTTGATGAGCCACTGATGAGATAGTCAATTATATCTCTTTATTTTATGGAAAAGTAATTTCTCAGGAGAAATACCGAAGCCTTAGTGGTCTTTTCAGCAGTTCCTAGAGTGGTCTTTAAAGTCACTCAACAATATATGTATCTTTAATCCACCTTGAAGATATCAAATAGATAGGAGCTTTCTTTAAGTGACAAGGCCTTAGAATCGGATTGTAGGACATCTTTAAAGGCCACCCTAGTAACAATCGAAATGATCATCTAAATTTCTCCATTTCGGCTAGAAAGGCAGATTTTTATAAAATAGAGAAGTCTAACCGGTCATTTTAGTTGTTGCTAGGGTGGCGTTTAAAGTCACTCTATGCCAACTTAATATTCGAAATACTAAGCTCCTTTCGCATATTATTTGTTGCATTAGCATAGGAAAAAACTATCATACAGATGAAATGGATACCTTAGGATATCATCTGAAACAAATATTTTCAAGTTGGTATTCATCATGGACTAACATCAGTTGGAGGAACATTGGAACCTGAAAGCATTGATGTCAGTCCATGGTGAATACTAACTTGAAATCAATAAATCCCCACAAACCGCCAAACAAAATATTTTTTCACTAAGATATAATTTGGATAAACGAATTCCAAATACAGCAGTATCTTCACCGTTTCTGTACTTCTGTTAATTATTGTTATCAAGTACGTTGATACTTTAATATGCCCAAATACTAAGAAACTAGTACAGGGAGCATTTGGATAGAGGAAAAAAGGAATCTCGTAGGACCTCATGTAGAAGAATGCCGGTTTAAGTTGCTAAATATGGCAACAGCGTTTAAGTATGTGAGAAAATTACTAATGCTAAAAGAGTGATATTCATCGTGGTCAGATTTTCAAGATCAAGTGTCAGTTAAACTGTATCAGTGTGACTCGTTTTGAGCCATACGATGGAGGAGCCATGTATTCGTTTCCAACACCTTGTAGACCTCAGTCAAGAAGCCTATATTTCTTTATATGAGTCAAACCACTAATAAGTGATTTCTTTCCACCGAGAGATTTTTCTAGCTTAGTACTACACTAGTTATCATTATAACTTAGGATAGATTGTGACTAGACATTTATATGCATGTTCCAACCACCTAATTTGGTCCCGGTTGATAACTTACTTTCTGTGTAAAGAACTGTTTCGCCAGTTTCGCCATACTCTCACAAACAGGGTCGAATATACTTGTTCCAGAAAACTTAAAATGAGAAAGGATTTGTAATAATAATAATAAGTAAATAAGTAAATAATTCATTGTTCCCTGAGTTGTGTTTGCACTGCAACAATCTTCCTCTAATCCTCAACCTCACACGTTTGTATAACTTGCAGAATAAAACAGTAAGGATGATAATTTGATTAAAATGAGAGGAAAAAATGTTAAATAAATTACTAGATAGATCAATGATACTGTGATAGTTATCTTTTTGAGATTCTCCAGTCTTGCATTTTTTCTCTTTCGCCCTCTGTCTTCCCTTAGCTTGAAGTGATATTCAATTCTACATTATAATCAGTTGCGAGAACAAACACATTTCAATCTTTTTTACCTTCCCTCTTTTTTCCAACATTTGATACCTGTTTAAATATTTTTAAAATGGAACCTTATATGATTCATATTCATCTGTCTTGTTGACAGTAACCATAAATAAGCTGTAGCCCTAGACTGGCAGACAAGTATTAGATTATTCGTAAAAGGATGCTGTATCAGTTAATTCAGACACATACTTTGATGAGTATTGTTAGTGACATTAAGTGGCACGCACACAGGATGTGCTATCAAGCAAAGCTTGATATAAGTGTAATTAACTCAAATGAACTGTCTTGCGTCACTAGGAGTTTGACTGACATAGGAACACATTACTTACCATAGATGATATGCTCACATATAATTCTAGAGCAGTAGCATAATTTGTTTAAACTAAGATTCTGACAGGTGTATTCAGAAACATGCAAACAACTCAGTTACATTTCTGCTTTGGTAATCCATTAGTTTGGAATTATATCAAGCCAAGTGAAACTTACTTACATAATCTATTTCTAGTTTAGATTTCGAAAAGAAATATAGGACGATTCAACAGCTTTAAGTACGACTTACACTAGGCAACGAGTAAGAGATATAATAATAGTACATGAATGCTAAAACCATAGCAGGTTAAACAGGGTTTAAATCCATGAGTCACTGGAAGTTGAGTACCTAGATCGATAAGCTACAGACTCTCAGCTTATATTTAAAGATTGTCTTATCCACTAACTAGTTTTCATCTATAATCAACCTTTATAGACTGTATCCATTATCCAGGGTATAGGCTTTCGATATACTTACTGAGTTGTCAGACTATGCATTTCTCTTTTCTATTGCATGTTTTATACGCATGCATGGATAATTCTTCTTGTTATTTTTGTAACATCTAACATACAGGCAAGATGTAAATCTACTAATATCTGAAAGTAATACAGATATGCTACACGGGAAATAATGAAAAACCGCTAAACTATGTCAATACATAAATATAAAGTAGAGTTGAAACGCAGACACTGTTTTTCCTAATAGATTGGAATAATTTATTAGCACATCAGAAAGAAATACCAAAAAAGTAACATTAAATATATAACTTTTGAACTTACTAGTTCCTCTTACATGAATGCATACAAGAATGAATTCTTTTCAAAGAAATAATTACCAAAATATATGGAAATATCCCAGGAATCAATACTGTTTCAACCATTATTAAAAGTTACTGAATATTTAGACATTTTGAAAAGAACTCTTCAGGTAACAAGTAAATTCTTCTGCGTAGAAATCATGCCGTTAAGATGTTCAGACACAACAGGATGATTGTGCTTTAGCTTCAGTGTATCTCAATAGTAGTGCTAAGCTTCATCGATTTGGTATCTCTTAAGAATTGACGTCCTTAGTCTGAGACCCATCATTACCTATGTTCTAGAGCTTATGGCATCGTCTGGTTACTCTCGTCAATGTAGTAAGAACGGCGTTTGAACTAAAGATTCATTGCTTGAGAGTCAAGTGATCAAATCAACTGGCTACTTCTACGTATCTTGCTTAATCTCTCAAGTCTCTTAAGAGTTAGGTAATCATCTCACAAGAACACTCAGAGTTATCTAAATGGAGTAGTATATCAGATGAATCTTTCCACTATCAAATCAAGGTATTTACTGTCCTATATACTGTTTAGTTCATTCCATATTGTATCGGTGAAAAAGTCGTTTATTCAGTGAGTTTTTCGATAGTCTTGGGTATTGTTGTGAGGATAAATTTTATGCATAACATGCAGAATAGTGTGAAGTTGCACGCACACACACACACACAGGGTCACTACGGTGAGACATTTCAAACTTGATCGACAGCTTTCTATCAGTACTCAGGGCAAAGAGCTTAACATGTACCATCTACTAAGAAACTCAGTCCTAGAAGGAGTTGATTCTGGCCTGAAGTCAGAAACTTCAGATTTACGTGAAACAAGTGTGAATCATTAGAATTCTCTTGAAGGTTGCAGACATGTCTTGCTGATGAGTGCAAAACGTCGCTGAAACTAGGTCAAGCATGGATGTCTACTGACTGGTTCCCAACTGATAACGAATTTTAATCTCTCAAGGAACACTTTTGTTTTACCAAGAAATCTTGTTGCAGAAGCTTGAAATAACCATACAACATACACAGTGGTTTCAATTCTTGGAAAGTCTATATGCGGTTTGACAGATTGTCACTCGCAGTAGACTATTGGGGTTATCAAGTAGTTGCATCAATAATCTACTTTTTTTAAGGATATGTAGCTTTTATATAACTTTAAAGCTGGTCATAATTTATTCACATAAGTATTTCTACCTAACCTCTGGAACCCCCAACTATAATTAACCGATCAAACTCTTCATGTTTATTTACATAGTTGTTTAATATATGTGAATCTCCCTCATTATTTTACATCAAACAAATATATTTAAATCAGCAGATGGAAGTCAGTAAGACTTTGGGTATACACCAACTAGTGGGATATCGTAGTAACACAAAACTTGAAAAACATTGACATTGAAATATACATGCATAAGAATATCATCATAAGCACAAATGAATTCAACCTGTTCAATATCTTATAATTATTGTGTCAATCAGCTGGAAACTGTTGACATTTGATGCAACACTTCTAAAGAAAAAACATAGGACCTTTGACGAGGTCTGAATTACCTTCGTTATTCTAATGAAGATTGGTGTTGGTCAAAAATTTCATCACTAAGGTATCCAGATGAAGAATAAACGTATGTATGAATTGGATCACAAGATGTCAACTTAAGTAGCTGTCTATTTTGAACCTCTCAGAATTGATTAGGGTCTATAGATAATGTTTAAAATGTGGTCACTAAGCTAACTGTTGATATACAGCAATACCTTGTATTTTGATGACAGCAGTTAGATGCGTCAACAAGCGGCAAACCTAGATCTAGGGCTTTCAGTTGACTAAACTTGTACATCTAAAACCAGAACACAGTGCTCTATAGTGTCCTAATACTTAGCTTAGTGGGGATAATGTAAGCCCGAATGACAAACCAAGATCAGTGCTGAGCATCTAGGATCCAACAACTAAAGCAGTTATCATCTGAGGATGAATATTTTTAAAAAGGAAGATTCGTAGAAATGAGACATAAAACAACACTTTGGCATAGTAAAATGCTTAAGAAACGGCTAGACCTCAAGAAGTGTGATGTATAGTCATTGGGAGTTGTCACAAAACATTCACCCAACTTTGTCTGTTACATTGCATTTTCAAAAAAGTTATTTGAGTCACAGTTGCTCCTGATAAACTTTTCCAAACTTTGGTTGTTAAATTCTTGTGTATGCAAAACCATTTTCAAGGTCTGCTATCCAACTCACCTTATTGGTAGAGAGGGCTATTATTTAAAGTGATCTGGAGTTCAGTGATTGAGTGAATACAGGCAATTTCCACCAAACGAAACCGCTGTATCCACCAGAGATATGTAGATACGTAGAAAAATTATATAAGTATAATCGTATAATGTTTAGGTTCATTTGTACTGTTAGGATAGTTTATAACACTCCCTCATAAGACACAGTCAAGAAACGAAATAAAAATGCCGATGGATTGGGTTGACATTTATGTGATTTACTTCAACGTCTTATTCAAAATATGTCACTCTGTTACTCATTGCTTGTAATTAATCATGTTGAGCTAAATAACTTTTTGAAGGTATACAGAAAGATGTTTGCCGTGTAAGGCATTACCATTTCAACAACGAAAGCACAACGATTGAAATGAAAGGAATTCACTTTCGTAAAAGTTAATTTAGTTACGTAAAATGGTTAATAAATAATACAGAAGATAGAATGCTTAGGGTATTTTTGCACGGGAATCGAATTTCATATGGTTACGAAAACATTCCGTAATTGATGCTGAACTAGATTTCTGGGAGGCTCTTAGGTTGTCGTCTGATTAGGAAACTAAATCAAAATGACGATATTCATCAAATATTCAACTATAAACCCAGGCTTATTGTGGTAAGAATGAATCTAGTCTTTTCAGCAGACTTACTTTATTTTCAGATTATACTGGGAGAATTACTCATGCAAAGGCAATCAGTAATAGTATTTGACTGTATGACTAGAAAGCAGAGAAGTGTATTTTGCTTTTAAAAACGACTTACTTCTGGTGCAGGTGGTGGAGGTCCAATTCGTCTGCCGACAGTACGAGCATTTCTTGTCACGTCTGGCGGAACAGGATGTGTACTACTCGGAACATTATTAATTTCTGGAGTGCCATGTTGATTAGACTGACTAATTTCATCTTGGTTATTTTGAGTGCAGTTCGATTGTGGGTGTTGTTGTTGAGTTGAAATCGTGGACGTGGAAGCAATATTAGAAAACTGTGCTTGTTTGATGGCCAAAGGAGCATTACCATCTAGCGCTGCCTGATTTACATCTCCTGAGGCATTTGTAAACACTGGTATATAAGACTGGGAGAAAAATGAGACAATAAAAAAGCATGATAAATTTATGACGCAGTCGTAACCAATTAAATAACTTACCAAACTGAAGCTTACTGGATCAAATTTACTTTACTCAAATGATACTGGACTAATTACAGCGTTAGGAGTATATATAAATTTAGCATAACTGTAATTTTGACGTGATAACATCTACAACTTCTGTCATATAAGCTTTCGAAAAGCTAAATGTTGTATTTAGGAGATCTTAGCATACCAAACGTTATTCTCTTCAAAAAAAGTTATTTAAACTGCACACTTATAAAAGACGTGTGTTGAGAGGAGATAATAAAAGTTGGCGATCACAGAAATGTAGATAAACTGAAGGCCGTTTCAACCATAGACTGATATCATGTAACTAATCCTTTATATAGATTTAAATAGGATACTTTTTCGTTTTATTTTAGGTGCTCTTAGTGAGATAAACTTTCGAATCATCCTGAAACCAAACATAACATGTGCAACTGGCGTAATCTCTGGTCATAATTCGTTAAGTGTGTGCAACACTAAAATGGAGAAATTGGCTCATAAGTGCTACTGAAACGCAGCATGAAGAAGTAATTTTGGTCTCAAAGTGCTGATTTCGGTAACCTTTCCCACTGGGTTAACGCAGATATTCAAATGTTACTTGGATGTCTTACATTCCATACAAGGAGAGATGAAATGAGGAGTATAAAGGTGTAATGAAAAGGATGATTTCAGTTTCGTGTGAAAGTTGTTATTTAAGTAATCTCTTTTTATCTAGTGTTTTATAATCCGATAGTGTTTGCATGAATATGGGTTTAAATAATTGCTCGCCTGGATCTAATGAAGTTAGTAGTGATTTCATTTGGTTACGTGTTCGTACTAAGATATGATGGCTAGGATCAGATAACGAACTACTGAAAATAGGAAGGAACCATTGGGTTGGGCCATCCAAGTTTAAAGCTCTTCAACTAAAGTGAACGACATCGACTTAATAGTCCTCGGATCTTGAGTCAAGCATGTCACCACATAATTTCTTGGCCTCACTCCAATAATCAGCCCTTTCAATATCAAAGAATCCGCGACACTACCTAAAGCTTGTCTAGTGTCACTGCAAGGAATCTGTAATCATACGTGATATAATTGACTCAGAATTCCCAAATTCTTAGTAGGAGACCATTTTCACAGTCATTCACTAATGATCACACAGTGTTATGGAGTTTCACACAAAGAAAAAACGTTCCTGCAGTACTTCCTGATCTTCAGTGGTTCTTTAACAGATGTCACTTCGTCAGACTTACTTCTAATAAACCATTCAAGTGAAAATATTAATTTGCTTTTATTTTGGATCAAATACTCAGGTCAGTTAACCAGATCAGAGTGATTTAAACACTGGACAACTATTTCACTCGTTTGAGGCCGAGCTCATTACTGGAGTACCCAAACAAATGGACTTCGTTAAGCTCACCTGAATCTGGCTATCTGATTTGCATGGACCAGTATCCCTAAATGAGATGATTAACTTGCAAATCACTTACAAATTGATCATCCTGTTTTTATTATTAATTGAGTGAAGAGAATGTAACAGCGTACTTCATATTAGTGATTATTATCCACATTTAAGTAATCAGTTACACTTTTCTCATAAAAAGCTTGTCAAACGTTTTGAAAAGGCATCCAACAGCGAATCAAGTTTCATTTATATCTGGCAACCACCATACCTTGAAGATATCAGTGTTTCAACGGTAGCTACTCCACCTAAAAACAGTAGTGATATTTTATGACGATGATTAGATTTAGTTTAGCTGCTTATACCATAGTCTTCGGGCCTCGCATCAATCATTAGTATTATATGGTTCACCTAAAGCAGAAAATAGAGCTGGAAGAAAAGATTTCTCATGAAGTAAATCATGGTGTCACAGCATGAGGAATGTAAAAGTCACGCTCCGAGTTTCGGGTAGAAGAAGGAAGTCAGTATATGAGGTTGTGAACCTTCATTGACTCAGGCGGCTAAAACATGTATGACACATACCTGGTCACCGTCTGTCTCGTCACAGAATAGTAGCTGAAGTATGTTTAGGCTGATAAAAGGTTACAGGTAGACAGACTAAAACATGGCATCAGTCCATGATGTCTTTGACTGTTAGGCTGAGCCGTGTTAAAAAACACAGATTTGCCGACTGGAGTCCACATGGCTACAGAAACCAAGGTTTGAAGATACCAGGTGATATGGCTCAGAATCAATCTCGGTGGAATAGAAGTACCCACACACTATCTTGATCTTAATCGTCATACTGAATTCAGTGTTGCCTTATTCCTCGTTGTCGTTTTTTCATAACAACTTAGACGTTTATGGAATGATAACAGGTCCTATATCAATATTGTCTGTCTGCCTGTACAAAACACATACTTATAGACATGCCTGTGAATTTGGTTGTTTGCAGGCGCTTTCACTATCGATTTGATCAAATTATATGGGCTATTCCTAAGTGGAGTTTAGGGATTTCCCTGAGTCTTCAAGATGTTCCGCTTGGCTGCGAATACTTTCACCAACCTTTTTTTATAAGGAGCTGGGAAGCAGACATTATATATGCTAATAAACAACCTAGTTGAATTTAACGACAGATTAATATTTTTTGAAAAGATATAGACTAAGCTTATTGAACAGTTTCAATAATTACTTTTAAACAAAAACACAATATTAGATGCAAAATCTATACACTTTATCTTTTTTTCTGAACATTCTGATGCATAAATAAATATTATTAGTCGTTATATATATATATATATATATATATATATATATATATATATATATATATATATATATATATATATATATATATCATAAAATTAACTTAATTTGTAGATCAGAATAGTTTAGAAATCTTTCTTTTTAGAGTTTTGATTGAATAAAAACGTTCAGACAGTTAAAATGTTTTCGTCACTTACCTGTCCAGTTGTTTGATCTACGTAAATAATACGACCTCCAAAGTTTGATGTTTGACCGGAACCTGTGAGAATTGCACATCCAGGTGGTAATTTAATTTGTGAATGTACAGATTTATTGCCATCAGAAGTAATTCGAGCAAGTTGAACTGACTGATGTTGTACTGGCATACAAATAGCTCTAACTGATGTTAAGTTGGAAGACAAAAGTGGATTACTAGCCATTACAATGTTAGTTGTTGTTCCACAAATATTACTCTGTATATTACTATTCACCTGAGACGTATTTGTTTGATTTGGCCCACATGGGGTTTTCGATGTTAGTAAGAGAGATGCATGCATCGACTGATGCGAATCCGCATCAATAACAGCAACGGCGGATGCTACTATGAAAAAAATTGCACAATTTTTTATAATTTACTTATTCCTATAATGTTTCATTCACAGAAAAATTTCAATGCCGTTTTATAAATATCAAATAAAATAGTCAAAATTCTTCGGGTAGTGAGAAATAAACGAAATCAAAAGAAATATGTGGTTGATATCACGAATAATGACGGACAGAACTATTTTATTCTACCAGCTGAGATTAGGACCTCGCCTACAGCTTGAACAAGCTGCCTTAGGGCTTATTAACCACTATAAAGTGGGCGTTCACCTGTTTCTAGTGTAACCCAAGCTGTGCATTTTCAATGTTTTATAGACAAAATCAGCAGCTAAGAATTCCTACATCCAGGACTCTAAGCCTGCTAACACTCACTGACAAGGTAAATATACAACAGTGTGGATTATGTGAATTGATGCAGTAGTTTTTGAAGTCTGAAGTATGAACTGAATAACTGTAGAATAAAGTGCGTATATTTGAATCTCAGACGAAGTGTCATTCATTTAGGTTCTAATTTGAAATTCATTAGCTGTAAGAAGTGTATCGAACCCACTGGCATTCTGATCACAGTTTTAGTTATCAAGCGCAAAGTGTAGAGTTATACAACAATGATCTACCAAACTAAAGATTTTGACAATATGGTCAGTAAGATATTGGTGGTTATTACCGCTAAATAATCAAGTTACAAAAGAGCTAATATAGGTAAGAAGTAATTGAACGTAATGTTTCCTGTTGTTTGAAAATAAACGTCTTCTGGACATGCCTTAGGATATAAGATCTAATCTAAAAAATGTTCTACACATGATTTGAAAAATCCTGTTCCTTCTAAACTACTTTTGAAAATGCTGTTTACGTGATGAGAGTCAACCTATTGGTAAGAAGCAGAAGGAGAATACAAATCAATGAAGTTTAAATATGAAATCACACTGGTCACACGAGCAACAATAACATGGTGTAGTTGTTCATTTCAAAGTCCTAACTCTTGAATTTGAAAGCAATTTATTTGGAGTTATTTTTTGGGGATAATAAATTGTAATTTTATCATTAGGAAGAGAAAAATGATCTGTAAAGGATATATATTTTTAAAACTCCGATGAGGTAGAAAAATGAATTTCTGATTTTACAAAGATATCTCCGTTACAATCTATTTTACTTAATGCCCAAATTACTCAGTTCTCAAAGCAGTATACGTCATGGGCTGACATCATTTCGAAAACCACACAAATCCTGGGAGCACTGAGTAGTTGCTTCGACCTAGTACGTAACTTAACAGTACGCCCCTATGAACTCGACACGGATTGAACTCATTACCTTCAGGTTTAATGGCATGTGCATTACTCATTCTACCACTGGGCAGAAGTTTAATGGTTTACAGCTTTTTAATTTGCATAATTCATAGTACAAAGTGACTATCTACCAAGATCCTCAGTTGGTATCCTCTTCACTTCTAACTGGTTGACTCGAATGGTCAATGTTTCACATCAAAATTTCTGGATATCCATCTTGACGTTAATGAGGACTATATAGTAATGCATTTTGAGGTTTAAGACTGACTGTTGGCTCTGAAGTCTGCATAGAAAAATAAATGTTTGAAGTAGTCTAAACTGATGCAAGGCATAACATCGCCTAGTTAACTACTTCACTAGTTACTAGCCGGTCCTAAGCCCAGATGAAGAAGAAATGTTGGGCATACGGCTAGCAACCCTACCCCGTAAAACCAATCCAACCGCTTAACAAACTTCAAACCACAAAGAAAATATAAAACATAAAATATACTTATTCCTCGCTGGAATCGGGGAGATGAAATGACACCGGTTGGTGACAACCTTCGGGAAGCCGATTGGTCGATGTCATCTCTCTCTCTCTCTCTCGATGGAAGCGAAAGAAAACATAGGGACATGGAATGTCCGCGCTATGTTTGAACCTACCAAGGCTACCCAGATTGCCGAGGAGATGAGAAGGCATGCCATAGATGTGTTAGGAATCTGCGAGGAGTCTGTGGATGGAATGGAAATGGACTCTCCAAACTGCCAACTGAAGAGGAGTCAATGATCTACTCCGATTTTGTCACCCAGACGACAACCATCAGCACACTGAGTTTTCGAGTGGTCATCATGATGTCCCCAACACCATCAAAGGCTCTCTCTCATGCAGTGGGAACCAATCTCCTCCTCCACGATCAGGATCATGACAGAAAGATTCAACTACGAAGGAATGAAGGAAAGTCACAATCATACAACGCTACGTTACGCTACACACCTACAAATGATGCAGATCGAGAGAAGAAGGAGTAATTCTACAGACAACTGCAGTCAACACTGGACAAGACCCCACCCCAGTTGGCGACATCAAAATTCATTGTAATGGGTAGGGTGACATGAATGCCAAACTGGGAGAAGACAAGGCAGGAAGAGAAGTGATCATGAGTCGAGAAGCACTCGGTGAAATGATGAATGAGAATGGAGAACTGTTTGTAGACTTCTACGCACTCAACAATTTGGTGACTGGAGGCAGTGTGTACAAACACTTTGTAGGATATTCAGAAAGTGACATGCATTTGACTTCACCAGACACCAGGACACACTACACCGAAAATCAAATCAGATCGACTTCATCTCAATGTGAAGAAAGTGGAGAAGCAGTCAGCCTACTGGACACAAGATTAGATCAAGAAGGGGAGCAAATGTAGGTCCACATCACTCACACCACTATCTAGTGCAAGGAAGACACCTACAAAATCAAGTTGAAAGCCTTCACAGAAGTTGGTGATGATAGACCACAGTTGAAGTTGAACACCCAGAACAGAAACTGAACTGAAGGACGAAACTACAAACGACATCTTCACGTCAGTTATCAGGAAAAAATGCGAGACACTAAGCACTATCCCTCAGGAAACCTGAGTGGAAGAACACTGGAAGGAGATGTGGTAGGAAACCTGCATAACCATGTTAGGAAGGAAGAAGAAGCAAGTCAAGACAATACAATGAATGGATCTCAACAGACACATGCAAGCTGATAGAGGTGGTGAAACTGCTGATGGTGAAGCAGAAGACAAACCAGTGCAAGGGTGAACAACGAAAAGAGGAACTGAACACAACCTACATAACACTACACTGGACAAGTGAAGTGAAGTGAAGAAGAGTGGGTGCAAAGACAGAAGACACTTCTACGACACACTGGCAAGTGAAGTAGAACAGGATGGTGGTAGGAGAGACCTGACAACACTTTATCAAATAAACAGGTTACCATCTGGTAGGGAAGAGATCAACGCAGATGAGACAAATGAAAGATAGTTAAGGAGACTGAGTTACCGAAGAGGAGAAACAATGGAAACAATGGGCTGGCCACTTCAAAAAACTCCTGAACCGACCACAAACAACACCGCCAGCACCACCAACACCTGCAACTCGTCCACAAATACCACCAGTAGTCCAGCCACAGAATTACCAGTGAACACCAGCCCTCCGACAAAAGCAGAAGTGAAGTCTTCAACGCCACGACATAAAGTTGCTGAAATCCAGGAAAGCAGCAGGACCACATGGAATTCCTCCAGAATCACTGAAAACAAACGCAGAGATAACAGCAGACACGCTCACACCACTATTATAGAAGGTTTGCAAGGAAGGAAGCAGACGTACCTGCCGAGTGGAAGGAGGGCTATCTGGTCAAACTCTCAATGAAGGGCGACCTAAGTCATTGCAAGAACTGCAGCAGAATCATGCTCCTGTTCACTCACACCAAGCAAAATATTAAGCCACATCATCTTGGAGAGACTAAACAATGCCCTGGACTCAAAATTATGACAGGGACAGGCTGGCTGGTTTGCTTCAGGAAAAACAAATCATGTACCGATCAAATTGCAACAAAACACAACACAACCCATAATCATAGAACAGAGCATAGAATGGCAGTCAACTGTACCTGTACCTCAACTTCATTGACTTTGAAAAGGCCTTCGACAGCGTCGACTCAGAAGTAATTTGGCAACTGCTACTTCAAAACTACGGTTTTAGTTCCACAAGTCTTTATCAACCTCATTCAACAGCTATATGACGGCACCACATCCCCAGTGATTGACAGTGGAAAGCTCAGCTCAGTGATGCCTTTGAAGTGAAGACAGGTTGACAAGTAAGACAAGGTTGTCACCTACTATCACCGATCATCTGCCTGATTCTGGTCAACTGGACTCGACTGGATCATGCAACAAACTGTGAGGAGGGAGAAGATGGGCAAACGCTGTTTGACGGATGAAAAGACCTCAGAAGAAGATTTGGATTTCACCAGTGATCATTTATGTCTCATGTCTAATGTCGCACAAACCCGAACATCTACAGGCAAAAACTAACAAGCTGACAGAAGGGGTGCGTGTAGAGAAGACAGAGGTGATGAAGATGATACCCAACCACCACCACCAACAACAACAATAACAAGTACCAATCACTATTAACGGGAGAAACCCAAATGAAGGAGTTTTCACATACACCTACACCTACCGAGGCAGAACAGCATCGTTTCAACTATAGGCGGCTGTGGCAGCACAGATGACGATGTCAAAGACAGGATCGGAGAGACAGAAAGACATGCCTTTATTGATTTGAAATCAGTGTGCAGATCTACTGCACTCAGCACGAAGAACAAGATCCTGATTTTCAACACCAATGTCAAGTCAGTGCTTCTACATAGTTCAGAAACTTGGTGAGTCACAAAAAGCATTCCCAACACACTACACACATTTATCAATAGCTGCCACCTACACTCACTCGATACTGAAGATGGAGATCAGATGGCCAGAATTATAAGAATGAGCAAGAAGGAGCTCACTCCGGCTGGCAACGAACCAACGAAGCAACAACCTATCGTCCAACAAATATGCAGAAGAAGGAAGTGGAGATGGATTGGATTTAGCAAACACTGAGAAGACAGTTTGGGGATATCACGTGTCAGACCAGGTCAGGCCGTCGAGTGGAACCTAAGAGGAACCGACGAGTTGGGTGTCCGAGGTGAGGGTGACATGGAGGAGATGGTGTGAGGAAGAAATGAAAGCTTGTGGACAGTTGTGGAGCGAGGTTCAGAAGACTGTATAGAAGAGAGTGAAATGGAGACGTGCAACTGAAGCCCTATGTTCCACTGGAACCCAAAGGACAATTAATAATAAAATAATAAATTTGTATAGGTAAAAGGTTATAGAATTTTATTATGTACAATGAAAGTTATCTTATTATGGCAACTATCTTGAGGTGGGAATTTCATCATTTTTAGTATATTTCACCTGATATAAATTAAATTGGGATTTAGCAAGATAGCTTTCGATTTTGAATTGAGTATTAGGATTCTAGTATCAATCTACTTAATAACTATTCAGCCTTTCGAGATTTCGAAAATTAATTTCATGAAATCTTTGTATATGAGTTTAACGGTCATTTTTTAGTATGTACAATTTCAAAAGAAGTTTATGTTGAAAACAGTTTCAACGTGAAAACATCTTATCTCAACCCCAAAAGAAGCGCATTTTAGAATTCATTAGAACAACAGAGACCAGTGTTACTGAACGTATTTACGTAGGAAATTTCAAAATGGAGACGTGCAACTGTGTTTAACTAGGAACTCAAGGGAGAAATTATAATAAAGATATCTTTTCTTATTTTGTATCAGAAATATGAAATAAAGGTAAACATTTCAAGAGACTTCACCAAGTTATTTAATATAAACAAGTGAAAGGGTCTATTTTGGTGTTCTTATTTTCAGGATTATGTCTACTGTAAAGGGGTTGTATTTGATCTACATGAAGCACAGTAGGTGAACATCTGACTCACATTAATGACACAGTTTCGATGGTCTTCTGTTTCAAGATTGACTGAATAGTTAAACGTTTATTGCGAAAAGCTGTGAGCGTTTACTTCGTTAGTATCTCTAAGCTTTAGCTATTCACTTGAAGATTGGGGTTCTTTATATGCAGTAGAGGCATTTTAGAGGTCTTACTTTTTAACGATTGTTCACTTTGATATTTCAAACAATTCTCTTTTTCTCTTCGTACAAGCTGTTTACTTCTGACACTAACAACGTTTTGCCAACTCCTGTACCTTTTTGATAATAATTAAGTATTTTGATTTTTTCATAGTGCACAACCTATAGTTTAAAATTATTCTTACCTCGTCTCCATGAAAATCTTATTAAAAATTATAAATTCTAGCAGTTTTTAGTATTTTTGAGTTATCACAATTCACTACATTTTCTTCTACTTTTATCAATTGTGAAAATCCACTAAACTGAACATTTTGACTCAAGCATATTGTAGACAATTACAGTTGTACAATTTGAGAATGGAGTCGTCAAAAACTATCTCCTTACTGAACTGCTTGCTAATTTTTTGTATTTACTAATATAGAATAGCTAGCAGTTTGAAACGAAACAGCACTTAAAGCACTCATAAACTATATGTTAAACAATCAGCGCTTTTTACAGCTGCATAACTTGTGACGTAAGTATTGATATTTGCATCTTTCCTTACAAATAATAATCTGATTATCGTATTGATAGTTTTTAGCAAAACGTATGTTCTTGCAAAACCAGAACTTTAAAGTAATTCTATGATATCGTTAAATTTTGAAAGTTAATTCGCCAGCTACTAAATGAATACTTTTGGTTTCAAGTAAATTCTTTTGGAAGTTGGATAGTTCCTTTGTAAATAATATCTAACTACCTGGCCTGTAGGCAAACTAGAATTATTTGACTAAAATATATTTATTATTAGACTATGATTTACCATTGGGCTGGGCTATTAAGATACTTGACGTGTTTGGCATGATGTGCCTAGGTAATGAAGCACGCCATCCAGATTGTGGTGCCGATGCAGGTCGTGGAAGTGCAAGATTAGATACAGATAAAGGTCGAAGATTCAGTTTATTTGGCCAAACAAGATGAGTTGAATAATCAGAGCTGGTGATCGGTGCAGTTGGTTTATCCTCAAGATTTGGACTTCCTGTTGGGCTAGCAGAGCCAGTAGGTGTCCCTGCAGAAACAGAACTGTTCATTGTATATGTCCCAGAACTTGCGGTTCCTATCGCTGAAAGCATTTGAGCTGCATGTGTATTCATACTTGCAATGATTACTTGACCAGTTGCTGAACCGCTTCTGCGTTGTTTTAAGGAGTGGAGGTTCTCTGGAATTATCTGATGAGAACCAACAGATCCTACGGAATTAGACTGTCCACTAAGAGGGATAGAGATAGCAACAGAACGAGAAGATTCAGCGGATAGCAGATTGTTTGCAAAATGGAGTCTGTGGGATGGATCTGTTTGCGGTCGATTACGAAACACAATATCACCTCCCTCACATCGCATAGAAGGTCCCAAATCTGAATGAACTGTGGCATTCCCTTGAACATCATGGTTGTTTTTCACAGTATTTTCTTGTGATTTCAAACTACTTAGAATCATTGCTGATGACTCAGTGTTTAAGACACGACCAGTGGAAGATGAGCTGAAATTGAAATAAAACAGTATACTTTTTATAAATATATCAGCCTTAAGTAACTTAGGATACAACTAAGACGGGAAGTAAAACTATTTCAAATTATTTCGCCTAATATTTATAGTAATAACAGTAGTAATAATAGTGATGGTAATAATAATAATACTTTATTTTGGATAACGAGTTGGATGAAAAGCCATAAGCCGATTTCTCAGGTATTAATCTCCATGTTGAAGTTACCAATAATCGTACACTATCGATATTTTCAGCTTTGTTTTATCCACAGTATATTCATAGTTTAGGATGGTTATCATTATGACTCAAGAAATTCCACACCAACTGAATTTGTTGTATAGAACTAACCAAATCAAGTTTCAACAACAAACATATTATTCATAATTCAAGCTATAAAATTATTTGATGTTAAGAGAGGGGAAAATGACTTTTAATGTGATGTTACGTGGTTGCGATCACCATGTTTCATAGACTGCGGTTGTGGATAGCTGAAAAACTTGTAGAACAAGATTCATTCGTTATACACAGTTCTTTGCTGTGCGTTAAAAAGCTGTATTTCATAGGTGATTATCTAGGTACAGTTCATAAAGAAAGAATAATTGATTGGGAACTGAGTGACAGTTACCGGAAAAAATACTCACTTCCTATTTCATCTATTCTCTGTTTAAGTTGGATAAAAAAAAGTTCAGCGATATGACGAACAGTACTAAATGACGTGAAGTTATCCTTCCCATTTTTCATGTTCATATCCTTTTGTTTTTAATCGCTTAAATATGTGACTACAAAATACCAGAAAAAGGTTTTTCATGTTTTTAGCAGAAATAACTCACTGAAAAAACCTTGGAAAGAATAGACAGAGAAAAAAGCCAGACGAATTAAGGACAGAAGAGAGCCACATTACCTAGAAAACGAAATCTGCTCATCAAGAGAAAAGATATAGCCTTTGTAGTAATCCGTATATGTATATATACCAGATACTTTTTGGTGGAAATTAAAGCAGTGAATATTATGAGGTAGAAGGAGAGGAGTGGGATGCGATACAATTTCTAATTCCCAAGAGAGTATGTACAACGTACGGGATTATGACTCCATACGATATGCATAAAAAAATCTCATCTGTGCATTAGCGGTTAATTATTTGATCTTATCAGATAAGAAAAATTCTTTTATTCTGTTTCTCTAATAAGAGGCTGGACAACATTTTTTTAATAAATTGCTAAAAGTAGATAAAATACATATACAAGACATATAAATTTAGTTATTTCTCGTTTTTGTCGAAATAAATTACGATTACTTTTATGAAATTAGACTGTGATTAAAAGTCGAAATATTTGCGACGTCCTATTTTCTCTTACTTGTCGACGAAGTTAAAGCTTTGGTAATTTTAACATATTGTATAATATAATACCTAGATTCCATTTGATTTACCAATATTTCCTGCGTTAATAACAAAAAACTAGAAATGTAAGATGAACGCTCACATTCTGCTTCCAGTCAACTATCAATCTGCGTCTTTCAATCTCCCTTCAACTTTGTAGAGGGTATTTATTTTCTATATAATAATCAATCCACAGATATAAAATGAATTACGTGGAATTTAACAGTAATCTAGCACAACTTATAAAGCTTTCAATGCTTGAATGAAATCGACAAGAAGACCTGGACGTAGGCTTCGTGCTTGTTGCCACTTGTCACTAAGGTTTGTCTACAACTTCTAAGGAACTTATTTCCCTACTGATATTTGAACCCACGTCACTGAGTCCTGCAATTGGAGATATTATTACTGTGTTAGTCGAGAGCAATCGGTTTTTTGTAAGACTAGATTGCATACACTGATTGGTCACTACAGAGTAATCAATCGTGGCTATCAAAACTAGAGAATAAGAAAGAGATTACACTTCAGTAATCACACAATGCACGACTTATATAACTCTTAAGAGCTATCATTTTTCAACTGATTTCCCTATGATTGCATTAACTTAAGTGTTCTGACCAGTATTTAAACATCATTAATATGGACCGATAGGGAATTTTATTCACTACTTGAAAACTAAAGGTAAGTGGATGAGAGAAACATTCAGAATTTGTCAGTATGGTTCATGTCTTTTTAGGTATTATTTTCAAAAAGTTTATCATAGGGTTGACTAATCAACTGAAAGAAGACAAGCAACGATAAACAATTGTGCTTGACCTCAAATATACTTAGGCTGTAACAATTTTATGACATATATACATATATATATATATATATATATATATATATGTCTTGAACTATTGGAAATATCTCTAAAATTAGTGAAATGAAACTAAGCGAAAGTCACTAAAAATTTAAATCTATTAAATAGCTGAAGAGGAAGTTTATTAAGCTATCATTATTTCTTTCTGAACAGTAAAATTATGTATTAGTACTGAAAGATGTTAGTTAGCACAAAATCTCTTTTCAAAAGAAATAAAATTGCTGGTTTAAATCAAAACTACGTCAAAAGTTAATATTGTATTCTTACAACAAAAGATTAAATGACTTCAAACAATTTTCGAAAAAATAAATAATACAACTTTTGTCCCATTCTTAACTCAAGTCGTTCATTATAATATTATACACTATGAGTTGTATATTACTATGATTAAGATATTTGAGGCGAACAGTTTCATAGGGTTTCATATCCTGTTTAACATGGATATCTTCGCTTTCAAGTGATAATTGGAATAAAATGCTCAAATTATTAAATTTGGGCGTATAGTAGAAGTGCATTGAATAACTTCGTCAAGTTACATATGCATTCAGTATACTTTATGTGAAATCTATGATAAATTCTAAAATATTTGAATATTTGGTATAATTCACATACTCAGATTTCATTTCCTTATATTTTTTTTCGACTGATCTAGATATTGAATATTTTCACCTCATATAATATCAGGATAAAGTTCAAAAGAGAGTTGTACCAAATGATTATGAGTATTACAGCTGGCATTTTTGTTCTTAAATACAGTGCATAGTTTGTAAATTTGTTACGTTGTGTTCCATCTATTGTATACGAGTGAACTTGCCCTTCATTAATGCCAAACAACAGTCAGCTAGTGGGTGACTTTATTCGTTTACATGTTATGCTTTAAGACTATCTCCACCGAGTTATAATGCGTTTGGTCCTAAAAGCAATTAGTTCCTCAGTTACTTGGTTGCAGCATTCATCTAACACTAGTTGTTCAAGTAGTTTTCCCAACGTGAGGTCCTACCCTAACAAAATTTCAGTCGTGCAGTTCAGTTAATTCATGTTGAATAAAAACAACAATAAAAATACGTTTAAAAAGCATAGAAATCTTATTCCATACAGGTTTTATCTTTAAAATTGTGCCTTAATGTGATAACATCGATGCTACTAACGAAAGGCGAAACAATATATCGATTTCGAAACCATGTCAGGAAAGATAAGTAACCAAAACATGAAGTGTTAAACTCTTGAGCAGAAACCGAAAATGACCAGATTTAATGGATGTTCATCAACTACTTACAGCCTAAGATTAGGGTGGTTTATAGCATAAACATAAGATAAAATAGCTGAAATACAAATGGTAGAAGAATAACAAGAGTTGTATTCTGCATAATTGAAAGTGCTGGTTAAATAGAAAGCGTGGATTGCAGTTTAACTTTTGAAAAGAACAAGCTTCTCACTCACCTTACATTCAAGTTAGATAAAATATTCGAAAAACCAGACACGATCGCTGAAAAAGCATTAAAAAGGAATTCTCCTGCAGCTGAAATTTGCATCATTATGTGATACAATATGCTGACTCAGCTAGTTCAACATGGATAGATATCCTGGTAATGTCATCTCTAACTACATTCATGAAATCATATGGACTTAAACCAACTAGTGTATGGAAAAGACTATGAGAACGGCTTACAATTAGTTACCTTTGTAAATTTTGAAAATTTTTTATCTAAAGGGAATTAAGGGTAATATTTATATACTTCGTTAAAGTGGGATACAAATTTGATGTTCCTAGTACTTTCATAAAATTGAACGAGCAGAAAATGCCATATCTACCTCATTTTATATTAACAATTATCACAGAATGTTTTTACCATGATCTATGCGAGTACAATGAAAGTGTTATTAGTATCTTATTGTCAAGTGGACTATATTTTGCTGTTATTTGTCTTCATTTATAAAGTCCTCTGTTTTAGTCTTCTACTTCTGTCAAATTCCTGGGGTTGACTTCAATTTTATAAATATCCATTTATTCTCATGGTGCCTAATTTGTCAGCTAGAGGAAACTTTAACTTCTCACTTATTCCTTCCTCCTGTTTACAGCTCTTAGATTGTGTACTGTACGAATATGTTAGCAAATAATTTGCTCTACAATTGATGATGCCTACCTTCTTATTATTTCGACTTGCTGTATTTGTATTAGGCTATATGCTACTACTGAGTTTCTTATAGTCAAAGTACGCTAATTTATATTTCTGTAATAACATCTTTGATTTCTAAACAAATGTGGTTGAAGAATAATCCTAAGATAAAATGAAACCCTTATAATGCGATTTGCTTGATGGTAGCTAACAACGAAATCCAAAAGGAGCCTTTTGTCTTATTTGAGACTCGTCAGCTTGGTGTGCCTGTTTACCAGTGAGTGGGAACAGCATCATTCCTCTGAACGCAGGCATATCCAGCTGAAAAGTGCCAAGTAGGAGGAAAAGTGCCTCCTACATTTTACTGTGAGCAGCCATCAAGCAAACTGGATCATAATGAATCTTAAGGCAATACCGTGTTGTCTATATAAGAGCCGATAGAAATCGACCAGTTAGATCCAGAATAACAACCGGAAATCATAAGTATTAGCAAATGAGAAAGTGAAAACATTCTACTCAGCAAAGCTAGTTTTTTTTGCGTTATTGTAATTTATCAAGGAAAGGAAAGTGGATCCAAAAACTTTCTTATTTACAATTATCCCTATTAAGGCGACATTCCACTAAGAAGTTTTCCAATAAA